AGAGAGAGAGAGAGAGAGAGAGAGAGAGAGAGAGAGAGAGAGAGAGAGAGAGAGAGAGAGAGAGAGAGAGAGAGAGAGAGAGAGAGAGGCGACGGCCATACCTTCAGCGGCGGTACTTACCTGGGCGCCATAGCTGGACTCGACGCCAGCGACCTGCATCAGCGCGCCAGCGGCAGTTAGCACACGGCAGCAGTTACCTGCAGGTGAGACAGCAAAGCGGGTGACATCTTCTTCTTCTTGCTGCTTTCGCCCTCCACCTCCATCACTTTTCTTCCAACCCAAGGAACACCCTGACTCAATCTGATCATGGAGGTGGTTGAAGACATTCAGGAAACTTGATGTCTGACAGCAATTGTGATCTGTCTGACAGCGATTGTGATCTTTCTGGCAGCGATTGTGATCTGTCCGACAGGGATTGTGGCCAGGCCTGGGGAAGAGTTTGTAGCATGTGAGTTCGGATTTGAACTCCGTTTTCTCAGCGGTTCTGTGCGAATTTTTTTGAGCAGTCAATTTGCCTGGTGATACTTGTCAAGTAAATGTCTGTTGTGGTTTCCTTGTCTTTTGGTTGGCAACGTCTGACTGTTTTCGGCGTCGATGGTTGACCGCTGGCCGGATGAATGTGGGTCGTCTGGTGTCGGGGTGGTGGGTTTTTTTTTTTTTTTTTTTCTGTTGTGATGGGGCGAACAGAATTTCAGATATGAGGGAGAAGCGTTATCAACAGCAGGGGCTGGGGTGCTACTTCTTCGGTCTGCCAAAGGGCAAGGATGGCACAGACGACTTTGTACTGGATGCAACGCGTAAAGGAAATGCTGCGCGGCATCTGAACCATTCGTGTAACAGCAACTGCTGCGCTCGAGCGTGTCTGATCAACGGCCAACGCAAGCTACTCATCTTCGCCAAGCGCTTCATCCAAAAAGGGGAGGAACTAACTCTAAACTACATGTTTGTCCCAAACCTTAAGGAAGAAGAGAAGGTACCCTGTCTCTGCGGCGATGCGCAGTGCCGTGGTTACCTTAATTAACCGTGGAATGTGTGGTCATAATGCCGATTACTCAGCTTGGCCAAGCAAGCGCTTCATCCAAAACGGGGAGGAATGCACATTTCTAAACCTTAAGGAAAAAAAGAGAGGGTGCCATCTCTCTGTGGTTACGCGCAGTGGCGCAGCTACGTTCACCAACCAGTCCAGTGGGTGGTGCACCCCTTTGGCCCCCCCCACTCACTCACTCACTCACTCACCCTTGTCCTGCCTGCTCAGCTAGCTGTACTCGTTCGGGACTAGATGCACTGCATAGGAGTCAAACTTGAACATACAGCCGGTGTGCGCAGCGATGCTCCACCTTTTTGTGGCATGACGTGTCGTCATCACTAAAGCGTAAGTGAACGACGTGGGGTTTTCAACTTTTCACAAAGTTTTCAGAGATTTGAAAAAAAAAAATGGGGAAGTGGACGTGGTTGATGCTGACCGTCCTTCACTCTCCTCTTTTGGGTTTTGAATTGTTGATGTCATCCAAACAGTACTTGGTTGACTCAGCCAAATTGGCACAAGAGCTCGTGGCCCCCATTTTTGGCCCCAATTTGGTACACACTGCTCATTCGGATTGCCTCTCCTACTCCCGCACTCCCACACTCCCACACTCCCACTCTCCCCACTCCCACTCCTCGCTCTCATCCCCCCCCCCCCATATGCCTGGAACCATGTTGTGTCGTACTATTTCGACCTCTGGCTTGGATTGTGTATGCGCTTGCTTGGGTCTAGATGAGAGAATGGAGATTTGTAGATCAGTGCTCTCATGAACTTCTTGTACGATGTTATCCTTTCACTCTCTCCACTCGCCAGAGAAAACTATTATCGCCAGAGTTCCCTTCCCCTTTGAGTGTGTCACCATACTGTGAATTGCCTAGCGTCTTCCCCCGAACATAATATAATCCACCCTCATTCTGAATGTATACAAGCCATCTATCTGGTTGGATGCAGTCATAATGAGGGTGCGTTTTGTTCGGGGGAAGATGGTAGCCACGTCTCCCCCCCACCCCACCCCACCCCGGCCCCGCTCCTCTCCGTCTCCAACCTCTGCTCGGCCCCTTCGGTAAGCGCTGCGACTTGTCAAACCAGGCTACAGTCTCTGGAACCTTCTCAATGGAGCACCTGTCAGGATTTGAGGCGGGGGGGGGGGGGGGGGG